CACACACACACACACACACACACACACACACACACACACACACACACACACACACACACACACACACACACACACACACAGTGTCTTGTCCTCATTTGGCCTCTGCATAAGGGAACCCCTCCCCTGCTGTAGTGTGTGGCCAGAAGTACCTCAGCACAGAGCTGGTGATGGAGCTCCAGTTTTCCTGTTTCAGGCCTATACTGTCACTGTTACTTCCTTTGTTTCTCTTTGCCCATGCATGCCCATTCACCCTCCCACCACCCCCCTCTTGGCTGAAACCTCCTGCTCCAGTCAGTTTCTATTTATTTTTCAGTCATTTATTGTGTATGCTTCCTGTCTCTCAACACTTAACCATTTTCATTAATCATCATTTTCCCCAGACAGTTTCTCTTCTGTTTTTCGTTAGCTTTTTCGTCCACATGCCACATGTCCATCCACACTATTTAGTCTGCTTTTGCACACACACACACACACACACACACATGCACTTAAAAAAACAACAACTATTGTTATTAGTGGAAATGGGACAGGTATAACATTTACATATATTTACGTATTGCCTGATTTGACTTTACTTTCACGACAACATCAGTTGTACAAGAAGCTGTAAAGAAAAAAAGACAGCAAAGAAAGTAAATAAAATAAATAGATCAACAAACCAAAACCAAACAACAACAATGAGAAAGAAAGAAAAATGTCAGTAAAATGGGACAAAGGCAGCAGTAAACTTAATCAAGTATCACGTTAGGAAAAACAGATTAAGCTTGTAAACTGGCCAGATGTTTGATTCTTTGTCTGGAGCGATGGTTGACTGATTATTAAAAAACTGAATAAATGGTCTTCATAACTTTTATTTTTCTTTCATGCGTAGAAAAAACATCATTCAACCAGATTAAAAAAGAGGGTGCTTTTACAGATTTCCAGAATAGTAATAGACTTCTTCTTGCTAAGAGTGTTTTAAAGGAAGTCGGGCTGTATGGCTAGCAGTGAGCATGGTTGTAGCTGTAAAACAGAATATAAAGTATTAACACTGAAGACTTGAATTCCTGCAGTTGTGGAGAGGACCAATACACATTCATAGACGTGCTTGGGGCTCAGCAGTCCCACTTTGTATCAGACTCAGGATGTATTTCTGCCGTCTCTACTGAGGTGGACTCGGTGTTCCACTTTCCACTTGATTAAACTGAGCTGTGTCACACATTTGTTAACCTTTAGCAGTAGATTGGCTGAGCATGCAGCGACGCCCTGTTCACAGTTATACTGAACACTGAATTAAACATCGCAGTGCATCAGGAACAGACTCAGACAGAACGCAGCAATAAACAAACAGAGTTGGTTGAAGCTGTTGCAGACACGTA